ACGTTGAGCTTAAATCCTGTGGATTGTGACTTGTCTTTCTTTCTATTTTTCCAGAGATTCATTTCCATATGATCTTCAGTTCAGTATCTTAACAAGATTCATCACGGATCAAACTCAGACGCCGAACCTCAAGGTATTCACATTGTGTTTGGTAGCTCCAACCGTTCCTTGTAATAACTCGCCGAATTCTCGAACGCTTATTGGTGTCATGTCAGATATGAATTGAATCCAAACAGTTAAAGAGCTAGTGAAACTCAGTGCATGGGAAGGGTTTTAGCTCTTTGGGTGTACTATTGAGGGAGATATTGTCTTTCAAATACTGCAAAATTTCTGGGTGGCAAAAGCGCTAATGAGCTCATACATTCTTTGTAAAATTTTGAGTTTTTAAACCCGTGTTGCACAAAAAATGTTCAATAAATCAGGCTCATATTCATTGGTAGAGTTAATCATACCATGACCTTTCAATATTCAGAACTGATTTATTTGTAGCTCCATCAGAAACTGAATTGCTTATGCTAATGAGTCAAATATTGTAAACAAGCTAAAGATTCCCCTATTGCCAACAGGCATGTTAACCATATGAGTTGCATTTTCGCGTGATAAGCACCCGTTAGATTATAGAAATGACGTATAAAAACTGACCCGAGTTTTACAGTGTAAGCACGAGCTAAACCTATCCCGTGTCTTTGATCTGAAAGCAGATCGCACGGATATCTCGCGGATATTTCTTTCAGAAGAATATCAAATAGAGCTATTGGCAAATTGTGGAAAAAGGTCACGAAGTAATTACAGGCGAAAGACCAAGCAAAGACCAATGCTATCTTCACTCCATAAAGTTCGAGATTCTCGGCTATCGTAAACTTACTATTGTAATCCATGTCCTTGAAACTACCATTACAACGGATGACATTGTTAGAGTCTCGCTGAAGCAAGGACGTGCTTGCTGGATTCCATAGTCGATAGGGAGTGTTTCTAATCACTGGATGGTACAGTTCTGGCCCGTTAGAACTGTTGCTCTGTAAAAGCATAGGTATTTAGTTTGATCATAGTAACGCAGAAGTTAGATTCCCTACTTGAGCAACTTACTAACTACTATAACTTTTGCAACGACGATGGTAAGATTCGGTAGGTTTAACCCTTGGACGTACACAGGCCTACCTTGGCACAAGAAGGGGATGGATGGAACCCCTTCTCCGGGCTCTCATTGCATTGAAATAAAATTTTTCAAAATCATTTTACATGTACATCCAACAGATAGCCCACGGCTTGATATATTGTGTTCGTCATGACGTCATCTGACTTCACATAACGTCAGTAGGTCAGCGTCTTGGATCCGCAATCCTGAATTTCACTATTTTCTCAGAAGAAAAACGACGATGGTGCTTTCCCCCCTTTCTTCTGTACGATCGGGGATTGACTTTCTGCATGTGTCCAAGACACAATATTTCTCTTCTTTCCTATGCGAGATATCCATTAGCTGACTGACAATACATTCAATGTTTCGCATCAAGGCCTCCTCTGTCTCATAAGCTTCTAATAAATCGGCCAGAGCTTTATCTTGGCAAGGGTGAAAGTTAAAGTTAATTTGCTTCCCGTTCATCTACCTTTTCAGTATTCCTTATGCCAGAAATGTTAAATCAAACTTGGATTGAACTAAAGAGAGATGCCTGTTTCCGCCCCTTCCTGCCTTCTTGTACCCCGAGATAAATGGAGTTTCCAGAAAATGAAAAACTCGGAGCTTATGTCTCGACCAAAAAACTGAACGACCATGACAACGGCCGGGGCGACCCTTTGAGCGCGTTTACGAGATGGACACAATACCCGAAATAATTTCGATTTTAATTTGGAAAATTGGTCAGTTTCTTTGTTTGTTTGCTTGTTTGTTTTTTCGATGACATGTATTTTGCAACTATCTACGTATACATGTAACTTAGACAGGGTCTACTGTACCTGGCCGTTTTGTTTGTAGGAAAACCTCATTTTAACCTGTATATTATCCTCAAGCTTCTTATCAAGAGGGAGACTGACATAATCCTGAACACCATGATGGTACTTTAGTAACTCGACACTCGCTAGAGGCACTTTATTCAAACCTACATCGCTAAAAGCTACCATGATAAGGTATCGTAGTTTCAACACCAAATCGCCTTTTTCGAAAGACACACTGCGCTTGATTCCTTTAAAATCCACCTTGGCTTTGAGTACCACAGGATCGTTCGACCTGTTTGAGAAAAAGCGTAGTCGGATTAGCCTTTCTTTGCGTAGTTTTAAGTGAGACCCGACTTTTTTAAGTCTGCTGGGACCGAAGGGGACAGTTGCTTTTGAAGCCCTCCCCACGTAACTTTTAGTGCATTAGAGCTATAACAATGAAACTTGGAAGATTTATCGCACGTCGAAAAATATTCCCTTTGAGGTCTAAAGCACAGCAACGTCATCATAATTGAAAATGACACTTTGGATTGTAATGAACTGTATAATACTGTTAAAAACGTTTCGAAAACCACTACATAAAGAAAGGAAAAAACATAACTAAACACAATTTTTTTTTCCAACAATACATGGTAAAATTCAAAAAAGCAACAAAATTTAAAAAATGTGAGAAACAGTCCTGCAAAAATATGGTTGCCATGGAAACATCAAGATTCTTCACTCATACCATATTGTTTCCAGATATACCAGAGAAGTCGAAAAATTTGGGGCACACTCTTTCAAAAGCCCCTTGCCCCCCTCCCTCCCGTTTTCGGCCGTCTTTAAAGTGGATGATAGGCGAAAACCAAGCTAGCGAAAACGCATCAAGAAGTATACTTTTTCGAACGAAAACGCAAGAGTGTGGTCAGGGCCTGAAATTTCCGTACAGAAAGCATCGTGCTAGATCACTCCTGTGTTTTGACTCCGAACACGTAAACAGCTGGTGAATTTAGTAAGTGGTGCTATACTGAAGCCAAGGGTGCCTCTAGAGGTATATATATTACAAATTAAGTTTATTACGTGTACAAATCCGACAAAATACTGCAAATTGACGACAATCAATTTGTATAGACACCCTCAAGTCTTTATTGACGTGGGTCGTGTTTACAATGAGACTTCCATTTCTATTATCAACGAGCAGTAAGACTTCCATTTCTTTTATCAACGAGCATCGGTAAGAACTAAGCACGTCCCAAAATCGATCGGAAATTCCCGCATTTTGCCTTAGAAATGATGTAATTTAACTACGGGGTTTGTAATGCAGATTATTATATGCTTCTTGAATGCATTAATCGCCGCTTGACAATAACTGAATCATTTAAACTTGTTACTTTGTATAGTAGCGAGTATAAATAAAGTGATTATAAAAAGGGAACGAATGCGTCAGAAAACCTAATTACTAACTTGAGCTCACCTGTTCAGGAAGAAAAAAACTGTTACTACCGACAAGAATATCAAAACCTTCGGGCGCTGAAGGACTCTCAGAATGGCACGAAGTAGAGACCACATCTTACTCGTATTTAGCATGTCGCTTGTAGAAAGATTACAGTGTACTGCTTCGCCCAGTATTATAGCAATTCAAGTGCGTAGGAAATATACTGACCAAAACACTAAAGGACAAGATTATTTATAATCAACTTCCTTTGACAAGTCAGAACACAAACGTGGAACAACATAGAATTTGTCTGGCCAAGTGAACGAATCTCTTGTACTTGTTCTTCCCTGGTCAGATCGAACAGGAATGAAATAATGCGTGACCGTTTGTTCTTTTTTGTTCTTGGAAGGTATTTGGAATTTTTTAACATAGATACCACTAATTATTGCTCCATAGCATTCGTTCAGGTGTAGTAAACATCTTTGTTTCAGGGTACTTCGGTATTTCTTTATCCACAGGATATACCTGATCTTCACATAACACTCAGCGACCGGATGTTTTGTTTTGAATGAGTACGGCGTACTCTTGACGCAGCCCCGGAACTTCTCTGTACAACTGACACAAAGCCAATATTATCAAATTAAACCTGTTAAGACTTAAGTTGTACAATTAGTGAGCGAGCACTGACAAACGGTAAACAGAGACTACGCCGTTGACAATATGGCATGTCTACAAATATTTGATCCTTTCGGCGCGGTCACGATCGTAATATTTTGGACTGTCGCTCTCTGTGCATACCGTTGAGTTTGTGTGTGTTGACTGTACTGACTTGTAGCACACCAGTTTTTTCCTCTTTTCTCCTTTAGTTTTTTGCTTTTTTGTTTTGTTTTGCTTTTTTTTTTTTAATAGAAGAAAGCGTTATTGGGGAGACGTTTTTTTTTTTTAAAAAGAAGAAAGCGTTACTAGGGAGATGATTGTACATGTGCATATCTCCNGTCGAGAAAGTAAAATTGGCGATGTACTTACTTCTTTTTACCTGACGCGTGATTGGTGAAAAAATTCTCCCCATGATGCGAGATTTTCATTTCTTTATTTGACTTCTGCATTTTTTTTTTTTTTTTTTTTGGTTTGTTTCAATTCGCTCGGGGCAAAACCCAGATCACTTTACAGTAACAATAACAATAACTTTATTTATATAGCGAGTACATACAAAGCTCTATATCGCTCTCCAGTCACGAAAGTAAAACTAAATATAATAATTTGAACTAAATTAAGTATAAACTTTATAAGATAGAAATAATTATCTAAAAGCAATTCTGAAAAGATGAGTTTTTAAACGCGAATTAAACGCGGCGACCGATGGACTTCACATTTACATTTAGATATCTGCTTTCTACAGGCACCTGCACGGTTGACTGAGACCGGGTTCTCGAGATGAGTAGTCATTAGTGTGCCAAGCGAAATATTTTGTGTCACTGACAAACTTCCTATTTGATAATGCACGTAGGTAGACGCTGTAACTCGTCATAAATGTGAAAAAAATTAACATCCAATCAGCATTTCCTGCACTGAACTGCTCTTAGTCAACGGTACATAGTTCAATCAACAAGTGGACAGATACATTTACGTTGATGGCTCCAACTAATGAGAAGGTGAAATTATTTTGCTACAGGATCAGGGCAAGATGACTGTAATACATGAGCAACATTTAGCGCTAAACGACTGCATCCGCACCTCCTGAAGATGAAACTCAAGACTTACATTGTATCTCACTTTTAGTGCGGGTTTATTAAAGACAAGATTCATCAGGCGTGTGGCCTGCAAATGCAAGCGAGGCCTGGAGCGATGAAAAGTGGCGGTTTTCGCAATCACTCACTAATCATGCAAGAACGTTTTCAATACAGTTACATGAAGATAAATTTAATTTGACACTGACTCACCTTACGAGTTTCCAAAACACGTAAATGAAGCCCTAGCATTATGTTCTTTGTAATACAAAAGTATATTACAATGTAGTTTTTTCAGTTCACCCGATTTAGTTAAGGTCACTTTTGCTATGCATCGCAAATTCCATTTTGCGTTACTGTACTGCTGTAACGATAGACCAAAAAAAGGCTTTGATAAACGATGTCCAAGACTCAGTTGTTTTAAAAAAAAATCTAACAACGATTTTGCCAAGTTTAACCTTCTATTCTTGCTTTCCACCTGTCAGGCAATGTCAAAAATTATAATCCATCAAAAATTTTCGCTCGCACGAGATTGGTTTAAACGCGTCACGAGACTGAATATGCTCTAGTTATATAACTGTGGAATATCCGAGTGGTATTCGCCATGGCCCAATTAACAAATAGATCCCTCGTGTTGCGGAAGATATTTGAAGGATAACACAGTATCCCCATTTGACTTTAAAATGTGTTCGAATATCAAGGTCTTTGGACATCATCTGTTTCTCGAAGCGCACCGTTTTCCCCATTCTTTTCTCGAGCTTCGCTCTCGGAAAATTGTTTGCTTCTCGAAACAGATAACGGGCAATTTCGCGCCAAATGGAAGCTACTGCTCATATATAATCAACTATATCAGCGACTGTTTCTTCGCGAAAATAGTAAACTCAGAGAGAAGGAAGATATAACTCGCCCAGCAGAACAAACGTTAAGATATTAACCATCTCTACATGGTAGCCGTAGTTTTATGTACCACGATTGTATTATTTTATCGGTAAAATTATTTTCCACATGACATCCCTTGAATCTACTGATTGCGCATCAAGTATCATTTGATACTGAGTAGATTTAAGGGGTTTTATCTGAGTTTCTATTTCCGTTTGTGATTAATTTCATTATTTGTGATTTTCTTTGGCTATGGTTCCTTTAATCGCATTAGCGTTTAGTATCGTCTAGCGTCTGCTTAGTTAGCATCCGACCTTTAAGTATTTATAGTTATAAGAAACACACTTTTCAAATTGGTTCAATATCATGATGACCATGGATCTAGGATCGCGAAATAGGATTGGCATGGACTGGATAATTCACAGCGGACTTCACAACAGATGGATAGAGCCTATAATTGAAAAAGAAATTGTATTTTAGTTCCTGTGAATCGACAACAAATGAAGTAAGATAAAGTTCAAATTACTCCCAACCCTTCGTGCCACCATCCGGTCATAGAGACGCCAGTGGAAGTTGAGGAGAACGAGAAATGCTGTGTGTCCACGGCTTTTTTGAGATCTCTCAAACTTTCAAGAATGTTTCTAGTTTCAGATAAAATAAAATAAAACAAATATTAGATTATGACCAAGAGCAAACTCTAGTTGCTTTAGTATAAATCTTCTAGTCGTTTAAAACTTAAGCTAAACCCTCTTCACAGAGACTTCGAAAGCACAAACAAGCTACGCACACAGCTAGGCTACTCGTTATCTGCAACAGAATAGATATAGTGAGTAGAGTATTCAATTAGAGAATTCGTGATAGAGCGTAATAGAATTACACTAAAACTCATTAAAAACAAGAGCAAAATGCAGTGTTATCGTTTTAGAAAACACTGCGAGAAAACGATAGGAAAATCACTCGTTTATTTCATTTAACTATGTTTATTATCAACTGCAGCGAATACCATCCAAATTGTACAGTTATTTGTACAGTAGAAAACCTGTTTGCGAGACACGTGGGCGCGCACGCAACACTGTCACACCCTCCCTCTTTCACTGATAAATTTATTGACTACAGCAGTTGGATAACAAATCTTTTATTAGATGTTTTGGTGCGTAGTATCGCTTTATATTTTTAGTCGGTGTTTGTATTTTGACGAGCTCTACGGGCTCGTCAAAATACAGCACAACTCGTAAAAATATACAGCGATACTACACACCAAAACATCTAATAAGATATATATTTATTTCGATTATCGAAACCTATATTCACTTCATTATCACCATTCTTATGTAAGCCAAAGTTCGAGTTAGTTCTCTGTACATATATCTTATTAGATGTTTTGGTATGTAGCATCGCTGTATATTTCACTCGCAAGATGTTTTCTTTCCTAATGATTTTCTTTTTCCTTTTCTTTTTTAACGCCAAGAACCGTATATGACTCTCAGGCCCGGTTCATACGTCGCATTTCTGCCGTGTCGAATTCAATTCAATTAAGTGCGGCAGAAATGCGACTGTGGATTTATACGTCGCACTTTTGTCGCACTTAATTCAGAATTTATACTGTCGGGTATGTCGGCCAGCGGAAAATATTTTAAACGTAGAGTATTCAATGTGGAGGACTTTAATTTTGCGAAAAATTGACCGCCAATGGAACGAGGAGAAGGCTGACAACGGAGCAGTATGTGTTGCAATATGTTCAGGTTGCATTGGGTCACGAATGGCCAAGTTTCTTCTTTTTCTTTGACGGGAAAACATTTACGCATGCTCAATACATTAACATAATGTATGCATTAGATTCGACACAGCAGAAATTCGACGTCTGAATCGGTGTCGCATTTCTGTCGGATAATGCGACAAGACCAGTCGAACGTGCGGCAGAAATGCGGCAGCCGATTCATACGTCGAATTTCTGTCGAATTTAATTCGTTGAATTGAATTCGACACGGCAGAAATGCGACGTATGAACCGGGCCTCAGAAAGATATTTTTACCTCGCACAACACTTCGTGCTTTTTTACCTAGGAGACAATTATTTGATTAGCATATAGCACTCAACACACAGCGAAATCCCGTGCGACTTTTGGCAATGTGAACCAATCGCATGCCATCTTTTGGTTAAGAACTTTTAGTAAGACAATTGGAGCCCTGCTACAGATTAATTAGTTATTCATACAGTGCACGTGGAGGAACGAAGTCGCTGGCGAATTTGTCGAAAACTAAAACTCCCGGAGCTTTGCACTTTTGTCACAACAGAACCAAGCTAAGGTTAAATAGCTTTAGAGCTGTCTAAACCCACAAGACAGCCTAATGGTTGAGAAAGATTCGGTAAGTAAGATACAATATTTTGGTTTGAGTTCACATGAACCAAACTTTCTTATTCTGACAGTGTCGAAGTTAACTTTCAACCGAGCAATTTCAGTCACAACCAGAAATGTTCTTGGCGAAGTATTCAATTTGGTTTTCCTTGCTCATTTTAGTCTGGAGGTAGCGATTGAGCGAATTACCCAAATCCACGACTCAGACGCAACATCTTTCAAACAAGCATTGCCAATGTAATCATGGCGATGAGATGTAAACGCTACAGTATAAAAACCCGATACTCATTTTAGGTAAATGTAGGTTTTTCTGTTAATTTTGAGTGCTTAGTTTTTTCCGCTATTTTAATCCTTGCTAGTGTATTTCATCTGTTTGTTTGTTTGTTTGTTTGTTTGTTTGTTTGTTTGTTTGTTTGTTTTTTACATTGCATTTTGGTCAGTTCTTGATAAACACAAATTGAGAAGCGTAAACTAGGAGTGGAAGGAAGGCATGCCAGAATTTAAGAATTAGAATGGCTCGGATGAAACCAAAAGCGCCTCAGCGTTACTTAATGCACTATTATTTTAATTATAATTCATCGGTATTTCTACTCGTGAATGAAGAACATTATGAAAAAAATCATACATGTAATCACGTATGAGGCGTTATAGAAAATTCAGTCACGATCGACGTAAAATCAAATTGAATCAAATTATTCGGCACAAGATTTAATGTTTGACACAAGATTTAATGTTCGGCTTTTTTTCGGCACAATTAGGCTTCGTTGCGTCATCACTTCGACTTCTGCGCAATCTCCCGCTTAGTGTTTTCTAAATGTTGAAAAAGACTTTTCTTTTCTTACTGAGTTCCTTTCAATGACAGCAATATCACTGTTACTGACAAGAACTTTTCCCTTTAATGGCAGCATTATCACTGTTATTAACGGGGTCATTATTTCGGCTCAAGGTTCATCCAGACGAACAATTAATTTTATTAATTTAAACTTAGGAAACTAGAGAACGAACGCTTAACGTAGGACTGTTTTGTCATCACTTGTTACATTAAGCTGCAAGTTTTCTAGTTGCAAGTAGGTAATTAGTACAGACTCTAGTGTAAGGGGTATCTGGGACAGAGCACACACCCTAGTGAAGATCTCTTACATGATTTAGCGTAGGCGACCTCCAAACCCGACTTGCCAGACACTTGACCAACAAGATGCATACTACGAAAAGACCCTCATCTATCGAGAGATTTGACAGTTAGTAAGGATAGCCTACAAGTTAATTAAAAATTCCTGGGAGGCTCGTTTACGGGAAATGTTAACAGCCAGATATACACGTCTCTTTTCCTCGTGGTACTGTCCTCTCTAAGGAATCCGCTTGCATTGCACTTCGCAGGCGTAGAAAGCTAGACCGTCTACAAATTGTAGGCGTTGGTAGACCACATCCGGCGGATGGTTTTGTCTAAACCAACTTATAATTTCACATTCAGTGTTCCAAGCTGATCACATCACGAATTCTTAGTTAACCTGTTCGTAAATTTCTCCAGTTTCGTTGGGAGGTTTGAATAAGACTTTCGCTTGCCCATTTTCGGAGACGTCTTGGTTTGATTCTTATCCGCAGCCAATCAGCGTTGTTGGAACTAATTTTCGGAGCATGGTCAACTGTTGTAATTTTACGAACTCCTTTTGTACACAAAGTATGCTCTGTCTTTATTTTGTGTGTTTCTTTTGTCTATTAATCAGCTACATCTAGCCTTTTTTACACGGCTGCACGTTTCCCGCACTAACCCCTAACTCGGCCATTTTTTCCAAGAAAGCTTTTCCATGGATTTTGCCGAGGTTGACAAATTTCGCTAGTCCACTTTCGGCGACGTCTTGGTTTAAATCATATCCTTGGCCCTGGAACTTTCCCTGAACTCATTTTCGGGAGCAGATGCGCTGGAATGGTAACTTTATTTCAGAATACACTTTCTATGGAGTATGATAATGTTGCTATATTTTGTTAGTCCATTTTCGGGGACGTCTTGGTGTAAATCATATCCTTGCTCATTTTTGACGCTAATGCATGCGCTAGACTGGTAACTTCCTCTCAGAAATCATTTTATATGGACTATGACGAGGTTGCCAAATTTCGTTAGTCCACTTTCGGGGACGTCTTGGATTAAATCATGTTCTTGGCTCTAAAAGTCTTTCGGAGCTCATTTTCGGGACCATATATGCGCTGGACTGGTACACTGAGTTGTTGAAACAGATTGTGAGAATAAAAATCACTTTCAAACCAAACGGTGATATCTCTTTATTTTATGTTTCACCGGGAGCCATCCTTTCCTCGAGCCAATTCCTCGGCTGCTAAGAGGGACCAGGACATTCTCGACTCTTTTAAGTCGCTGTTCGCCGATTGGGCACAAAAGTACAACCATTCTTTTGCCCAATCAGGATCCAGCGTTTATAGAGCTCCTTTGGAAATGGTCCGGAAAGACCCAGGTCCCAGGGCCTCTTAATGCCTCAGTTATAAACTTTCGACGCTTCAATTTTTGCTGGGGCTAATTCGCTCCGCCCCAACTAATTGCCTTCTCATGATCACCGTATTGAATCTCATGACGTCGTGTGCTGATTGAATTTTCATAGGATAAAAAAAAAACACTTAAGATAGACAACCAATTTTCAGCCGCCTGGCATCATTAAATCCAAAAGTGCGATTGGTGGACTGGACCAAAAATGTATGACTTTTTGACTCGTTTTTTGCTTTGACTACATTTTGAGCTCTTTTTAACAATGGTGCACGTTCGCCTCAAAATCGTTCCCACCTGGACAGGTTTTTAAACCTTGCAATACCGTATAGTAAAGATCAATAAAAAATGGGAGCGGTAGTATTTTATAGTATTTAATGCAGCTTTACGTTTTTCCTTCGATCAAACAACATACAGTGTGTTTTTAGGCGGTTTCTACCTCTCTACAAGGAAATTGCGCTTAATGAGCTTGTGCAAACTACATGCGTGACCATATCACTGCTTCATGCATCGTAAAAGCAACCTTCTGAACTACAGCGTTCTTTATAGGCAATGCACCTAGTCGTTCCCAGCCCCGGGATAGGCAACGGTCCAAGGGAGCACATTTTTTGCAAGACTTCAATTTGTCCCGAGGACGAACAAAATCTTATGAAACGGTGATTTGACACTCCTTTCAATTCCTTTGACATAATGTACATGGTGCAAACTTCTTCTTCTGGGCATATGACTTCCTTTCCTTTTCCGTCACAGTCCTCTACGCTATCATCACTGAGGCATGACAGGCATCGCGTGACAGCTTGCCCTATGGAAAGAGGAAAATAAGCAAATTTTGAGATGTAAAGGAAGGATAGTTGGAAGTAAGGAAGAAAGGGAGGAGGGAAGGAAAGTTGGAAGGAGGGAAGAAAAGTTAGAAGGAGGGAGGGAAAGTTGGAATGAAGGAAGAAAGGAAGGAGTGAAGGAAAGTTGGAAGGAGGGAAGGATAGTTGGGAGGAAGGAAGAAAGGAAGGAGGGAAGGAAAATTGGAAGGAGGGAAGGAAAGTTAGAAGGAGGGAAGGAGAGTTGGGAGGAAGGAAGAAAGGAAGGAGGGAATCAAAGTTGGATCGAAGGAAGAAAGGAAGAACGGAAGGAAAGTTGGATCGTTTCCCAAAATTTTTCGGTTCTTTTCCTCTTTGGTTCAAGTATCACTCCTTCAGACCATTTACCGATCAAATTTGCGACTTACTGGCGTGCCCTCTTTCAAACTTTGATGCAAAATTGGCAATTTATGATAAGGGCGAAACGGCTACAAGTTATTGGGGTTATACTTGCAAACCAAACGGAACAAACCTAACCGGAACTTCTACCGTATAATTTCTAAAGATACCTACAGAAAAAAGAGCAGTAATGCAATAACGGATTTTGGTTACTTATATTTCCATCAAATCCGTAAAATCCGACTTTTCCGACCCTCAAGTAAAGAAGTTTGAAGCCTGGGAACTTGCAGTATGATTTCACAGCAAGGGGATCGGAATATATTAAGCCAGGAGGAGTTTATTTGAGATGGCGGAAAAGACGGATTTTCCGGATTTCACGGAAATGTGAATATTAAACACCGTTATTATATTACTTCATTTTATTTCTGTAAGTATCTTATATAATATTATTATTATAATAGTATATAAGATACTTACAGGAATAAAGGGAAGTAATATAGTGAAATCCGGAAAATCCGTCTTTTCCGCCATCTCAAATGAACTCCTCATGGCTTAATGTATTCCCCTCGCTGTTAAATCATACTGTAAGTTTCAAGACTTCAAACTTCTTTACTTGGGGGTCGGAAAATTCGGATTTTCCGTACTCTTAAATTTCTCTGACTGACTGAAATAGCTTCAAATAACTCAGAGATGTTTGTACAACAAATTGAAAGTATGAAACGTCTTGTTTTGAGTGCTCATTTCGTTAAATCAGTTCAGTCTTTAAAGACTCTAACAAACAGTTTTACACTTTTTGAAAGCAGTTGTTTACGTGTTGAAATTATGATAATCTGTTATTTTTTATGTTCGACGTGAATTAGCCTGAATGACTAGAAAACTCTCCAGAGAACGCAATAAAGTAATGTGGAAAGACAAATCTATTGTTGAAGCAGAAAAGGCTCCCTTGATTACAGTAGTGTTGTTAGTGATTTGCATTTGACCTTAGTTTCATCATCAATGGCAAATTAAGATTGATGAGCGGCGTGAAACGCCTTCATATCTAGTTGAAGTAACAAGCTCTTTTCATCCTAGAGGTGCAGAAAGGGCCCCAAAAACAAGTCCAGGGCTTTTGGGATAATTACGCTACTGTTATCGGTTCCTCGTTAACACATTTCATTTGAAAGATTATACACCGGATGAAAAGGAAAAAGTATTGTCAGGGTAAAGAAGCCGCATGGTTTCAGTAACACTTGAACTGTTTACGTTGATCTCGAGTTGAAAGGCAAATGACAACGGTGTCAACTTTTCATGCATAGTAGCGGTCACAAGGTCATCAGTGAGACACCTTAACGTTCCACATATTACATATATGGTAAGGTATGTGCCAGCTCTGTCAGATTTAGTCACAAGTTTCCATCAATGATATTTAAGCAGGAGACTTGTAGCTTTTTTACAACCAGCGATCGACAGAGGAAAGCAAAGAAGCCATGTCAACAGCTTAACAGCGAAACGGTCAAGAGCGCTGCAATCTGTTAATTGGCTCCCGTAATCAGTGGGAGATGCAGTGTTGTAAGTGCAAAATGCATTTGTAACGTGAAAGAAAAGGCTTTGCCAAAGGCTTGGAACTCGATTTGCCAGCAACGTGATATTTGTGGTAGAGCGATTTCAGGTTTGTAATTGTTCAAAGGCTGAAATGACAGAATGAGATTGTATAACACATGTTCAATTCTTGACGCACATTATCCTACTTTCTTTCAGATATATCAAGCGTAGCGTTCTTCTTCAGTGCAATTTGCACTCAAGAAAAAAAAAAAGGAAGTATCCAGGAAGGTGAAGATGAAAGTGATAACAGTAACGAAGAATTCGAATCAAGCCAAGTACCTAGTTCTACTTCACAGCAGTGGCTCGATGGAAATTTGGCTTCTGTCAACAAAGCCCTTTGCCCGGCGATTTCCTATTGGGTCGCGCTAACGACGCCAAACGGTGCTCCCGCAAGTCCCATTTCCGTGCACAAAGCGTTATTGAATTGTGGAGTGGACGTTATTGTGGATCAGGTAAAGCATCTTGTTTAGAATGCACACTGTTTATTTATGAGTGTACACGTTTTCGAGAAACGAAAACAACACCTATTAATAGTCAATTAAATAAGTTTACAGTCTTAAGGAAAACAAACTACATGGCAAAAAAATAAAGTGCTGGCTGTCTGGAATAACCATGGGTGCTAGAGGAGTCAGACAGCCGGTTAAAATCTTGCAAATTTTCAACACAGTTTTTAAAACGCTCTACTTTATGCCTTTTAGATTCAATTCCAAGACGGAAAGGAATGTCCTGCCATGAAAGAGCTTCATAAAGTTTTAAAAGACCACAAAAACCAACGTATGCAGGACCTCGTTCTATCATCGTATCGGCATTGCTACAAACAAGAAGCCGTGAAAGTTACTGGCGATGATATCGACTTAATCAGTTCGCAAGAATTGGAAGAGTGTGGCAAAGAGAATGTAGTGCGAGTTACCATCATCAGCAAGAAGTTTCAATCATCTTTGGCCAGCGCGATAGAACGCCTTATCGAGGCAAAGTTACAAATTGACAAGTTCGGATTCACATCCCCGAACATCGCAGCGCGACAACTCAGCCCCATGGTGCAAAACGACGAGAAGAGGTTCTCAGATAAGTTGACGGCATTTCCATTGCAATGGAAAAGTTCAATTATGCCACTTACAGGAGAAAGGTCTACAAAAAGGAAAGCAGGGCCTAGACTCATTCGAGAAATGAGAAAAGTGGTGGAGCTATTAGCCGACCCCTACTGCGAATTGTTTAGACCACTGGCAATTGACTACGACCTAATCGAAGTCAACCAAGGTGTCTGTTGGTCGCTAAAAGAAAGGTCCTTCGTGAATGATGCCATCCAAGAAGATAAAATTGGAGAAGTATCTCCCAGAGCGTTTTCTCCCTTTGACTCGACGTAAGAACCAGATCCAAAATACTTTCGCCAGATCCTAGAAAACAGCCTAAGTCCAGAAGAACAGTCAAACTTCTGCGTAGATTTCTTGAAGGTGCTTAGCTACAACAAGAAGAAGCACAAATATAAAGTGCCTTGTTTAGTCGGAGACGCAAACAGCGGTTAAGCAAGTCTCTTTTTTCCAATCCTGGGCCTTGTGCACCACGGAAACGTTGCCACGGTGACTAAACAACGAGCATTCAACAAGTCTATGATCTCTGAGTTCACCGAAGTGATATTCATAGACGAAGCTACAGAATCTATACTTGACATCGACGACTGGAAAACGTTGACGCAAGGAGGTTACTCGGCACACGACGTCAAATACCAGGCGACAAAATCATTTATCAACAGATGCGCAATGATCATCATAAGCCAGCAGAAGCTCGACTTCGGTCCCTCCGACCAGCCTGCAATGGACAGACGATTGTCCAAGTACGAATTCCGTAGCCTGCCAAACCCACAAAAGAGTGCAGCCTCGTGGCCCCATGGACTGTGTACTCTGGGCCACCGAAAAGGCTAAGACACGTAGAAATGATGGTGAAGGAGACCCAATTGAAACAGACGAAGAGCAATCTTTCCTGGAAGAAGGGATCTTGCAAGAAAAGGAAAAGGACGAACTACGCGCTTTGTGTTTAGACCAGGGAGCGGACGACACAAGCAATCAATCTGTTAGAGAAGACGAAACCCCACAAGACGCCGCGCCAGACACTGAAAGTGAGTCAGATTTGTGCAGCCAATCAGGCGACATCGTAGATATCTTGGAAAACCAGCTTGGAACGTTGAAGCCAGAGAGTCTTCAACATAGGATAATAACCCACATGCTGGAAACGGAGCAGGCAAAGCAACAAAGACGAGTCCTGTTTGAGCAGGAGCGTTACGCTCAGCGAAAAGCCTGGTTAAAGGACAAAGGCGTGTCTAGCCAGAACGCAGAGCTTCTTCCCGAGGAATCTGATGAACCAACGCCCTCGCCGATCGTGAGAGATCTCGAGAGGTTTACACGCGCCCGAACGGAAGCCGAACAAGACACGCGTCGCCAATCTGCCCGGAAAGCCTTCGAGGGTGCGTGGCTGAAGGAGATGGAAAAAGAGTTGCGGGACTGTTTAAGGCGCTTGCACTCTACCCAACATCCCGCGACAAGAAATTCATTGGAGGCATACCGGGAAGTATGGGAAGATAAGCCGAGAAACCACCACAAAAACCTTGGCACGCTTGGCTCTAAAGAGGCCTTAGAGGAGCGGAGGCGCACGTGCGTCTCCCTTGGTCTATTAGACAGGGGACACCAGCATTTGGTGAAATGCGTCTTTGAGGCCTTGCCAACCAAAGAAGAAGTTGGATCTTTGCCTACAGGCTCACAACAGAAGACAGGAGGGACACGGCCTGGGACAGCGTCAGAAAGTGAGAACGAAAGAAGCTTGTTCATTACGCCGCTGCCCAGGGATGCTCCACTGACCTCGCCGTCGCGTGCAAGTTCAAACGTCTACGACCTGGCGGTTTCAGAAGAGTTAATGCGTAACAGCACTGGTAGTACGCGAAAGAGGTCAAAGCGTCGTGCTCACAGTCAAGTGAGTGAGAAGAGGCCGCAAAAAAACACTGCAGAATTACTTCAGTCATAAATAGAAATGACACTTAATAACGGAACGAATATCATTGTACCAAGTTTAGGCGCAGAAAGAGTTTAAGTTGAAGTTACGATTGACTCATCTAATTGTTTAATGATTATATGTACATGCAGTTGAAAGAGGAACAGAGTTTGACGTTAAGACTGACTACTTTTGTACACGTTTGTAGTGTTATTAAACTAGCGGCATTTTGAGTCCAGCCCTTTTCTAGAGAGAATCTGCTGTTCTTCCCTCTTGAAATTTGAAATCGGGATCTCTAAGAATGGCCGTCCATTGTCCATATCCGTGCCTGTTAATTCCTTGCTTGAGAAAATCGTCTTCGTCTGCCGTGAATTTCATCACCCGATGAAGTTTCCTCTGATTTCGCAGGTTCTCAGTGGGAATGACAACCTTCCTGGGGGGAGACAGGCTTGCCTTTTCCATAGTTTAAACCGACAGTGTCGAGCTAGAAGTTGAACCGCCAAACCTCGCCTGTACATCTTCGTCCATCTCTGAACCCTTGCTTCCTTAAAGCTTTTGTAGACACTCGCGAGCCTTCACAGCAGCTTCGCGCGATCTCCGCTTTTGATAGTGAACTTTGGCAACAGCAGAACTGTGCTTCTGGTCTTCCGACAAAATCCTTTGCTCCTCACTGGTGAGTTGATTGAGGCTTTCCGTCTCAACAATTTGGCAATAACGCGTAGGATGAATGTACTTTCCAATAGTATCAAAACCAGTTTGCTCATAATTTCGCCCAATTTACCGTGTTGGCCGCCATTTCTCTTGACGAGAACGAAATCACACTCGGGTTTGAGCAGCGGTCTGACGTACAAGATGTAGCCATTGAGAACTTGCATGTTTGCATCAGTCAGAATCAAAGAATCAAATCCACACTTTCCAGCAGTCTTGAACGTTTTCTGATCAATGAATCCACCCTTTTCCTTAGCTGTAGCAATCGTGTCCACCGTCAAATATTGATAAGTCATGGGACGCGGCCCCTTCACTTTGATGAACAGATACATGGCAACGAATTTCGTGGCAAATGTCACGTCTTAAGGATTAACTTGAGCTGGACTCGATTTGCAAATCTTCGGGGTATTTTCGTAACGCGGCAGATGAAATTTCACCACCTCCAACAACTCCATTGTTGCCCAGTGGCCTCTTGCTTCCAGTGTTTCAATGTCAAAACCTTGCGTCCACTGCAATCTCGTCATTTCTGCAACCGTCTTTCGCGCTCTTTTGAGGTACAACTCTGTTGAAGAGAACTTTCGAAGAATTGCCTCCGGCGCGCCATGAAGTTTTCTGAAGTCGATTATTTCAGAAATGGCATCTATGTAGCCTAAACGCAAACCATGTCCAAGCTTGCATTCGTCTCGTAAGTAGTCGATAAACTTGAACAAGAAATTGGGAGAACACAAACTAAAGTCCACCACGTCAAAGGTCAACTCTTCCTCGTCTTCAAAACAAAATCTAAGAAACTTAAAGCATCTTGTCACTATTTGTTGAGCTGCGCGATCTTTCTTGCAACCGCCACCACTCCAGTCAACCATCTCGTGAATACTTTGCCAATGTCACACGACAATTAAAATGAGGGAAGTAACTTTCCGGCATGTGTTTGTGGTCTCACTTGTTTGATCTTGAATTGGAATTGGAACATTTCTTGCTACCTTTAGCGATTCTGTGATTTCTTTCGAATTGGGCCTCTCATCGAAATAAAATAATCAACTGTGTTTCGTATTAACATGTTTTCTGCACCCTCTTTGACTTTGAAATCCATCATGGTCACACTCTTGTATTGGGTAGTGATACAAGCTGTCGGTTTCATCCTTTTCCAGGTGAAGCCGTTTTGGTTTGGGTGATGCTCCATCGATATCCGATGGACTTTGCACTACTTGCTCACTTTGCCTTTTGAAGAGCATTTGGTCAACACGATCTCCTTTAAATCTGAACAATAACCAAGGAGTCGATGACAAATAAAGGAACTGCATACATGTTTGTATTTGCCAAGGCATGCCCTTACTTGCCCGCCCTCATTACTATTGTGCACAATTCATGACAGTGAGATGCAACCAAACTTGCCCAAGCAGGTCTAGGTGCGCCCTATTGTTTGCCTAATTCACAAAGAGCACCTTAATTTGGGAACAAAATCAGAATGCGTTAAAAAAAAAATGATCCGAAATCTGTTCCCAAGTGACCAATTTGGGGACAATACGTTCCATTTACAGATAGGAACTCGGAACAAAACAGTCCTAAATGTCCAATTGTTTAACAAACTGTTCCATTTACAGATAGGAACTCCGAACAAAACAGTCCTAAAATTTGGTAATAAATGGCCAATTTGGGAACAAACTGTTCCATTTACAGATGGGAATTCGGAACAAAGCGATCTTTAAAATATCAATTTGGGAACGACATGTTCCATTGGCATATGAGAATTCGGAACAAAACAGTCCTAATTTACCAATTTGGAAACAATATGTTCCATCAACAGATAGAAACTCGGAACAAAACAGTCCTAAATGACCAATTTGGGAACAATGTGTTCCATTAACAGATAGGAACTCGGAACAAAACAGTCCTAATTTATCAATTTCGGANCGGAACAAAACAGTCCTAAATGACCAATTTGGGAACAATGTGTTCCATTAACAGATAGGAACTCGGAACAAAACAGTCCTAATTTATCAATTTCGGAACAATGTGTTCCATGCACAGATAGGAACTTGGAACAAAACAGTCTTAATTCATCAATTTGAGTCCAATATGTACCATTTACAGTTTGGAACTCGAAACGAAATATTCCTCTTTTACACTAGAGTGAACGTTTTGTTCCTACCTTGTAAAAAATCTGGTCCTCTTATGGTCAATAGGAACACAAAAACGAGGGACAGTCGATGCTTGAGGAACGTTCCTTTTGGAATATAGGAACAGCCAACGGAGCTTAAAATCAGCGAATAAACGAGGCAAAGACTTAAAAAATACTCGAAAAAGCGTAGGTAAGGCGCTTAGGTGAAATGAAAACAATATTTAAAATCTGGTGAAGTTTGTTTCACTCAAACGCAGCAAATCGCGCAATGATAAATTTTTGGGAAATGTATAGGATCAAAGGAAGACAGGAAGGAGGGAAGGAAAGTTGAAAGAAAGGAAGGAAGGAAGGAAAGAGGGAAGAAAAGTTGGTAGGAAGGAAGGAAGGAAGGGGGGAAGAAAAGTTGGAAGGAAGGAAGGAAGGAAGGAAAGAGGGAAGAAAAGTTGGAAGGAAGGAAGAAAGGAAGGAGGGAAGGAAAAATGGAAAGAAGGAAGGAAGAAAGGAAGGAGGGAAAGTTGGAAGGAAGGAAGGAGAGAAGGAAGGAAGGAGAGAAGGAAAGTTGGAAGGAAAGGAGGAGTCGTTATCGTTATCCTTGATTCTCAAATTAAATCAGACATTTATCGCTTTTCCTCTGTAATTCAGGGATTATTTTATCAGTGTGCACGATTTGAATTGACACAAGTTACATGCGAAATAACGTCTTTAGTCAGCTTCGTTCACATGAAGTAACTTTTGGGAGGCGAGGTTGCCTCATGGTCAGAGCGCTCGCCTCTGGATCGATCGAGCGGTCCCAGTTCGAGTCCTGCCCGGGGTCATTGTGTTGTGTTCTTGGGCAAGACACTTTACTTCGGGCTTTTGTGCCTCTCTCTCCAACCAGGTGTATACATTGGTACCGGCGAATTTAATGCTGGGTGTAGCATCTATCAACAGGAAGACGAAAAACGCTTAGTCGCTTCATGCTACTGAAACCGGAAATAAGCGCCGGCCTGATGGGCCACTTGGTTCGCATGCAGACTTAACCGTTACCTTTACCTTCACTTTTGGGTCTGGGGACAAGCTTGTTTCATTTGCCCTTATATAGGATCTAGAATAGAGGTGAGATACTGGAGATTCCTTACCAAGACCAGCAAAACCAAGAAGAAGGACCACGAAAACTGTAAATCTCATTGTGTTGGATCTGAAATGATATAAAAATTGAGATTGTGATTTAAGGACAAGAAATTGTCTAATTTTGTTAGGCTAGTTTCGCAAAACTTACAACAAAAACCGCAAGTTACGTACATCACCCGCGAGAGGAGCCGGTTAGACTGTAATTCAAGGCTAAAGAACACTTCCCCCTAAAGAATACTGAAGAGCCAATTTTTTTTTTACAAAATGACGAAATAAAATGCAGGAAAGGGGATAAAAGGACACCTTCAACCAGTGTTATTTGGCTGAGTATGTGCGCAGTTTGTACTAAAGGGTTGCACGCCGTCATGTAAAGCCAAACCAAATTTCAGGTATTACACCGGGGATAAGTGTAAAAATCTGGTTACAACCAGTCACACTCTAAGGTTTGGTTTGAAAGGAGAGACCACTTAGTGCTCACCTGGTTGATTCGCCTTGGCTGCTAGAACGTTAACGTTTATTTGGCATGGGTAGTGACGATTTCCCGAATTCCCAAAAGATAGAAATAAAAAATCATGCATCCTATGCCCAAATTATGCCCGCATCCCGGGTAGCAGTCAAATCCCAAATCCCGTCACGTTAATTAGCCTTCTCGCGATTCCCGCACCGTATTTTGGTCAAATCCCGATCCCGGGACCTCTACTGTGTAGATAACTCTATTAACCTACATCCTCTCTGCGTAGAACATACAAAATAAACTCTGTTTGGTGATGTGATCATGACAGAAACTGATGGTTTGAATGAAATAAGCTCGCCTTTGAAGAGGCTTAAATTTTGACTACCGACACAAAGGCATTCTCCCAAGCTGAGAAATTAAAACAACCATTGTTTTATATAGGGAGCAGAAAATAGCCTAAATAAATGCACGTCAAGCCGAGATTTGGAACCGGGTATGCAAGCCAATTGCGACAGCTGGTTGCTCGCAAGTGGCTCTGACGGGAAATATTCTCGACTAAAGTAAAATATCTTTCAAAAGTGAGAACGCTGATTGAACATCAAATATTACCACAAAGGGATCAGTTTTTTTATCAAAATCTGTTTTCTTCGATGAATTCAAAGAAAAAAAGGATTTCCTTCACGGGGTCCTACATAGGTTTTAGTTTCACTTTACTATTTTACTTATTTTCGAGTACAGGTGGTAAACAATTTTAAATCTGTAAACGTCCTGTTTACAGCTAAAAGCCGTTTTCTACAGACCAAACATAGCTAATCCTCCTGTCGTTTTGTCGTTGATTTAGCGCATTTCCTCAGTTGCACATTTGTAGCTTTTTACTCGTTTATAAACAGAAAAATAGGACGAGTCTTGAACTTTAGAATCGACCTATTCTGCGAGTGTTAAATTTTCTGCCAAATGTAAAATTAAAGCGGGTAAACGATGGCTTGCAGTCTGCGTGCTGGGTCGATCAGCAAGTTAATTGTCAACAGCTCCTCATGCTGTTTCATGCGTCAGCAGTCCTTGTTGAATCCATAAGGTCCATTAAGCCTCACTAATATTGCCGCCAAATTTTTAAGAACAACCACTAGCCTGTGGTTTTAAAGGAAGCAAATAAAATCTTCAAAGAAACCGAACAATCATTTTATCCTAAATCAATCACTTAACTCCGTGGATACCGCTCCAAACACAGCTCAATTCTAATCATTTAGTCAAAGAAAAGTTCTATTCTCAGTCCAAAAATAGAATCCCTGCAGCAATTTCTATTTTCTTTGAATGGAAATTAATTGGAAGATAAAGGCTTTAATTACTTATAAGGCCAATGTTAAGGGGTTTATATCCAGTTGATTTACTGAATAATAAATGCTGCGTGTGTGAAAGAATATGGATAGGAACTAAAATTCGCTTTGACTCAGGTTTCAGCGTTTAAAAAGTTCTTGAAATAATTCAGTAAATTCTTGTGCTTTGTTTTCCAGTAGTTTACAAGCATCTAAACCATTCGATCCTATATTGCTTTTAATTAAGCATTGAATGTCAGGAACTACCCGATGAATAATGTTTGAAAGATTAAGATCACACTGACAACGAAACATGTTTCAGCCTAAACTTAATTATTGTTTCATCAACTCTGCACCCTAAATGTTTTTGAAAAAAAAAACCTCATCGCCAAATAACGTACTACTTGCTCCTTAACTCGTGTTGAAGTTTATCGAGAGATAATCTTCTACTTTTTCGTTTTAAAAAGTCTTACTTTCAAAATGGAAAATTGCCCACGTTTTCTACATATTTTAATGAAAAACGGCATTGTTCTTGGAAGGAAATTGATTAATATGAAACATCTAAGACATCCGTTGAAATCGTTAACCAAGATAACAACACAAAATATCTTGATCAATCTTAGTCAGCATCTTCTAGGTTCGAAAGAAATAATATAAAATACTTTGGTAGCTCGAAAAAAGCAAATATTACCTTATAATCTAATTTCACCTAAGGAATCGGAATTTTTAACTCTCTTTGTACAGAAGCTAGGATATATTTGCACTTAAGACTCGGGGGTTTTCTGGTTCGATTCATTTTATATAAGTTAAATCTCTGTTAAGAGTTAACATCAAATACCTAACAGAAGCAGAGGGTTTCTGTTATACTGAGAACTTGTTCAGTCTTTCTCGCATTTTGACACCGTGATGACAACTGAAATTAATAGCCTTTCGTTTATCAAACTCCTATCTGAAGTCCACTAATAAAAAAGACAAACAGTGACCTACGTGTTGACAAATATAAACACCTTTTAAATTTTCAATGTTTAAAATGGATTTCGCCAATAACAGGCGATATATCATGCGTTACGATCACTGACCATATGTTATTTAACACTAAGATTCCAAAATTACTTCCAAATGCCAGTCCTTGCCATTGCATTTGAATGGAAAATCAGTCTTTTAATTTAACCATTATAAACATAATATTTCAACCTTCCTTGGGGTGAATTTGCGATATTAGCTTGTCAGATATAATCGTAGAGTTAAAAGACTGTTGTGCTCTGGGTTATTTTGAATTATGAAACGCGCATTTTCTTGATTGATAAATATCGTGGGAACCTACTCAGCATGTCCCAGGTGCTTTGGTTGACCAGATATTGTATAAAACACAGCAGAAAAAGAACGCCAATGGCAGTATTTGCTTTTAAAAAACAACTCTCTGATAAATCGGAGATCCTGAACTTCCAAACTTTGGGATAAAAATTACTTGATTCGGTTTGTGAAAAGCTCTGAACAGTGCCCTTTTTTCCTTTTTTTGGAGCTGAATTAGGTGTTAATTTTGTATTTTGTGGGTGACTCATGGAGGCGAAACGACTGATTAATAGTCAACGAGTAGAAACGCCCTTAAGTTCAAACATCAAGCTTTGAGGTCCAGTTTGTTCAAATCAAAATGTTCAGAAAATCTCAAGGCTAAAAGTTATAGCGGAAAATGAGCTGTGTTCACAAAATAGAAATATGATCAATCATTTCTATTGTTACACGCAAGAAAATATATATTTAAAACAGCCACGGAAAACTAGGTTGAAAAATACGCCGGAGAAACAAGAAAAAATATATATTTATAGATATAAAGAAGAAGTTTTTTTGTGTCGAAAATTTCGCATACCTGGATACGATATCGTCGTATATACCAGCGAAACGATGCGGAAACTTTACTTCTGGTCTTGATCCCGTTTGGACTTTAAGAATTTTCAGCGAATGGCAAAGACCACACAATACTACTCAAATATAAAGGCATAAGATGATTATAAAAAGCTGCCATTCTATTGGTCGATTAAAAACAAAATGAAAAACTTTCAACGCATCATCAAGAGAACTGCTTTTCTGTGGATGTTATTAGTCGACCGTTGAAAGCTGTCAATCATACATAATACCTGTATTATACCCGTCCCACCGCAAACAATGCACCCAGGTCGATAAATTTCCGTATTGCCTCTCATTTCCATTTACAGTCAAGCGGTAAACGATTTTTGGAAATAGGTGTTGCCAAAGAAATCATCCAAATTTGCCCCACTGACACAACGGGTAATGACAATTTTATATTAAAAGTTTACTCGCATGTAAACAGCAGCAGTAAAATTGAAATTTTGCATTGTGATGATCGATGGCTGGGGGACTTTTAAAAACGGCTGGATGATGAAGTTCTTTTGTGCATGACAACTCAAAAAAAAAGGCAGAGGAAGGATCTTTTTCCGCAGATGCTAATTTCGATGTAAAGGCGGCCTACAGGTGCACTTTTGATTTTACAACAAGAAAACTGACATTAAGATATAAAATTCGTTTTGTTCAACGAACATATCTTATGAGTTCTGTGTTAGCAATTGTGCAATACTGAAAAAGCTTTCATACATGCCACGTAGGTAACCGATCTACATCGAATAATACTTTTTCATTACGCATTAGCTGGTTAGCAGCTGCAATATTCTTCTGTAATGAACTCCAATTGAGTTTATATCTGATCAGAGCATTTCTCGATACTGTGAAGTCCTGTGAAGTCTTGCCCCTTTATATCGCTAATGTAACGGCTTCACTTAACTATATGTTCAATTCTAAACTTGTTTTATTCAACTTCATTTGAAACACGGCACACTATAAGCACACGCTCCGTGTTGACTGACAGGCATGGGCCTCAGTGATCTAAACAGAGCTCGTTGTGAAATCAAAGACATTAAAGGTAGTTGCCGGAGTCAACAAAAACAAACTATGATTTAAATGAGAGAAAGCTCTCGTTTATTCTGATGTCTTACGAAAAATGCTCAGTGAATACGCTATGTATTGCGTGTGAAAAAGTTTCACCATTTTAATTGGTTACCTAAGAGGTACGTATTTTGCAGATTTAACACCTCTCGCGAATTAATATCGCTGATTTGCATTTCTAATGGAAACATTGCACAACGAAAACTGTTTACTGTTAAGTGTAAACCCTCTTCCGCTTATGTATAGTGCATAGTTTTGATTAGAAGACTTGGCTTGTTTCCAAAATAGTTTCCAAATAATACTGTGCTATGTTCCTGTTAAGCCTGTGTCGATGTTTGTTTGGTTTTTTTTTTATTATTTTCAAAACAAACTTTTATATATTAAAGGTTGTAAACGCTTTTGAAAGTGTTTCATTATGTTACATTTAATACTTTAATCCATCGTATGGGAGCAAATTTCTTCCCTTTTTCGCGTTTTCGTTAAATAATTCAAGATGCGTATCGCAACAAAAGACATGATAATTTGCTCTTTTGTGGATTTTCAGGTCGGCCAGACAGAGCCAAGGGGAAATCATCATTAAAAGAACTTCCAAGGTATAAATTTAGGAACCGCCGATGCAAGTGTAGCATTGCGATTGGTCCCCTGCAGGGGCCAAATATTCAATAAGAATCGACTGCTAAGTGGCAGCACTAAAGTATTCACTTTAGTCGGCTCGTTTCTACTTTCTAATAATTTCATTTAATTATAAACTACTGAGAAAGTGCTTGATAAATGCACCAAGTAGATATAATTTGTGTTTTAATTTCTTGCGCGCGTTTCCACACACTGGATCGATGCACGAAATTGGACGGATTCAGCAAAATTGTGAAGGGCCTCTGATGGCGAAAACTTTAATGAGCTATCTTGTTCAGTATATACTGGAAAAATTGATCTTATTTTTATCTTTCTTGTTTCGCTAGTTATTGGTGCATTTGTATATCGTGAACCTTCAACCCTTGCATGACTTCCCCTGACGCGGGCCTGATGTTAGTCCAGCAACATCCAAGGCATATGGTTATCAGTGATAAGATTTACACAAAGGGAGCGGAGTATGGAGGCGTATTTCGCGACCAAAGCAGAATCTGTAAATTGAAAACAAGTTTAATTCAATTCTGTTTGAATACGCCTAAAGCAGGTCCGGAAGATCGCGTTACGAATCACCCACGAAATACTTTCTTTAGCACACGCAATTCATCCGTGGAACAAAGATTTGTTCATGCGAAGAAAATAAGCTGCTAGGGACAATGCGTGAAACTTTTGTCTCGAATTATTCTTTACGGAGATGCGGAAGGGCTCCTGATATTTTTTTTCTTTTTTTTTTTAATTGTTTTCACGGCCTGATCATCTAGTCCCTGTTATATCTAAGAGAAATTGTTAAGAGTTATCTAAACTTCTATCTGGCAAGCCTTTAGTCAGTGTTTATGCAATTCAAAATGCTTTTATGAGATTTTTTCTTTCCGTACCTACACACCATACGGATTCTCATTCAAATAAACAGTCCCTAAAATTTCCTTCTTAGTCTGAATAATTCGTCTAAGTCTTTGTTAGATTTTCAGCCCTATAAATTACCAAAACGGAAATTTATAGCACCCCACGTGTCTTTTTTTGAATTTCAATTATATCATCGACACAGTGCTACACAGCACTTCAATACTTTGTTATAGTTACCAAAGTCTTTCATGGTGCAACTGAATATTGCTAAGGGGATAAAACTACTTTCAGCTTGAAATTGAAAATATTTGGAAGCTGCCATCAAGCTATTTTGAACCATAATTAAGTATTAATTTCTTTTTCTTTATTCTTTAAATATATTTAAGTAAATGGTAAATAGAAAAAAATATTGATATACCTAACCTTTAAACATTCGATTAATCAATGAGGGATACGAGCAAGTTTGACGATATTGGGCAAACATTTTCATGAATAAGTTCGGTACGTGATTAATCCCGAAGACAAAAGTCGACATTCAATATACGTTGGTCGAATCAAAGAAACTAATGCTGAGTTCCTCGAAGTTCAACATTAAATGACCCAAAGTACTTCGTCTGAAACAATTATTATTATAATTCACTACGCAATCATCCGTTCATCGGTAAAGAAAACTCGCCCCTGGAAAGAAATGACCCAAATCTTTTCCGAAACTTTTAAAAATGTTTAATATTTTATAACAGGACTTTTCAGCCTAAATTGCTCTCCTAGAGTTTCTGTTCCAACCTGGAGATATTTCTCATAGCTGATTGCATCGCCAAAACACCATTCATAAAATTTAATTGGAATCAACCGGAAAATTTGGTAGTTCAGAAATTTACGCCAAAAGTCACAAAGGATGCAAAAGGTACTGAAAGACAAGCTAAATCAAGCTCAATAAAGTTAGTGTTATTAAATACGTATTGATTACTAGACAGTGTTAGGTTTGACTGGATGGGAAAATGTCTCTGTTTATTTCACATGGAAAACGTGACAGGAGCTATGGACTCGGACCAGATGATTTTTTTCCCTCCGGCCCTCCCACTCAGTAGGCTCATAATGTACTTCATTCATGTCTTAAACAAAAATGGCAGTATTTTGGCTTGGTTATCATCATACTGTGAAAAAGCGATATCACATGAAATGGATTATTTAATTTGATTTAGGTTTCTGTACGTGGCATAAAACATTCAAGGCAATAAAGTCTGCATACGAGCCAAATGGCCCATCAGGCCGGAGCTTATTCCGGTTTCTGAAGTATGAAGTAACTAGGAGTATTTCTACTCCCCCCTTTATGGGATACTAGTCCATCGCAGCGTTATCCCCAACTCTAAGTTCGCCGGTACCCATTTATGCACCTGGTTGGATGAGGCCATGAGGCCACCGCGCAATAAAGCTAGAGGCAAATGATTTACGTGAAAACCTACCTCTTGAAGCTCAAAATGCGAGTTGAAAACCTCAAACGTGGCGTCTGGTACTGGTCACGTGCCCCTTAAAGGTTCGCCGTTAGCGGGAAACTTGCATCTAAAACTCTCGATGGGTTTTTGAAAACCGCAAAATTTCTGAGCAGTAAAACCACTAATAAAGCTATTTATTTTTATAAAATGTTGAGTTTTACTAAAATTGCCCCGTGCCACAGAAAACAACGCCTTTTATTCGTCGGGGTCAATTCTCTTGGTGCAATTTATCGTTCCACGCCTCTTCAGTACTGAAAGCTGACACTTTTGTTGCTCGATCAGAAACTGAAGCTCTTTTTGCCAATGAAGCAAATATTGGAAACAAAGATATCCCTACCTACATATTCAAATCTTTGGGCAACAATTGCACTCGTACCGCATCTAACATTTCTTGAAAAGAAATAGAAATAGACCCAAATAGAGCTGTCTGTACTCCTGGTCTCAAGATCAACTTCAGACACATTGGATACGACTACACTGCAAAATTTTCCAAGCGAGGCCATTGTTCGTAGGTGATGTTTTAACAAACCGCTTGATGTCAGAATAGGTTTACTTTACTCTACTGTACACGAACGGATTAGTGGATTACATCTGACAAAAATCGAGAACTTGCTCCAATTATGTAGGTATCTATGAAGCTTTTTACATTCACCACTTTGACAAGTTTGTTTCCAAGCTCTTATCGTTTGCACAGCTTATAATGCGTTGTCTACGGTTCGCAGCTACAGCCCTTCGGACATCGTCTCCAATATATGTATCAACAACAACAATTTTGCAATATATCTCACCCATAATTAACGACACTTGTTCAAAAGTCGACCCCAAGCCTCGTTTATGCTTTGTCAGGAATGGTATTAAATAAGTAGCTTCCCTCTCCATAGACACTGGGTGCTTCCCATTCAACCACAAATTCTGCAGTTTCGAAACGGGGACTCGACAAATGGGAAGGAGATGTAGATTTCGCTTCCTGAGTTAGTTTTAAGCTTCCAGATTATCCGGAAATTGCTGAATTTCTGAAAAATGAACCATTAAGGCAAAAATAAATTCCGGGAGA